CTTGGAGAAGTAGGACTTGAAGAAATAGGACTTGATGAAGTTGGACTTGTCTCAACAACAACAGTCACTGGGTCACTTGGATTTGAAGGAGTTAAGGTGAAGGTTGTGTCAATAGATCCGGGACTAGTGGTGGTGGTTGTCGATTCTGGAGTCTTGATTTCAAGAGTTACAGGATCACTTGGATTGGATGGGTAGATGGTAATAGTAGTAGGTTCCGAACCCGTCCATACTTCGGTAGTAGTGGTTGTCGATTCTGGAGTCTTGACTTCAACCGTTACAGGATCACTTGGATTGGATGGGTAGATGGTAATAGTAGTAGGTTCCGAACCTGTCCATACCTCAGTGGTGGTGGTAGTAGATTCAGGAGTCTTGATGTCAACAGTCACAGGATCACTTGGGTTAGTTGGGTAGATAGTAATAGTAGTGGGTACCGAACCAGTCCATGGCTCAGTAGTGGTCGTTGTACTTTCAGGGACTTCGACAAATACTTCTAAAGAACTTTTCGAATTCTCTGAAGTAATAGTCTTCGTTACTGATCCCGTGTAGGGGATAGTTGTAGTGGAACACACATAGTCATCTCCAACACTATAATACCATCCAATATCAGAAGAATGATAAGATCCATCTGGATACTTGATCCCCAATTGAAGGTATCCTGTTCCAGGGCTATCATAATAAATCATCTTGATTGGGTAGTATTCTCCTCCTTCCAAGGTTACGTTGTAGCTAGTGCCCTCTCCATTGTTATAAAAAAAGCCAATCCCGTCACTATCTTGAGGAGGAGTACAACAATCTGTAGCTTCTTGAAGATTGATACTAAATGCATCATCAATGCGACCTAATGTAACTGTATATGTTCCTGACGTAGGGGCATAAAAATATCCCGAGAGCTTCAATCCAAAATTATTAATTGTTGTATTTCTCCCGTAAACAGGATAAATAACCTTTCCGTTAGACAAAATTGTGAAGTTAATGTTAGTAACACCATAAACAGTATCATCAGGCGTCAACCCATCTATCGTCTTAACGTAAGCTTCAAGTGCGGCTGTATCATTTGTACTTCCACTTAATACTTCTGTTCTATTCTTCAAGTTGTCGTAATAATCCACTCGAAGTCCATCCAGAATATTGTAGGGAGTACAACTACTGGCTATAACCTTGAAGACGAAGAATAAAAGCGGTATACAATATTGTAATTTCATCGTTTTTGTATTGTTTTTTACTGTCGGAAGATCTTCTACTTATAACATTTTATCATCCCAGTATTTACATCATCTCCCAGAATGAACCAAATACTACTAGTTGGTACCGATAGGTTGCTGAAAGTAAACGATACCAGAAAGAGCATTTCATATACTCTTTAGCTGACAATTAAGCATGTCAAGTGAATGCTACTCGTACAAAGTAATTTCCTAGTTTTGAAGATTGCTTGCCTCAAATGTGCCTTCATTTGTAAAAATAATGAAATAAAGATGGTTCCAAATTCCAATACCTTCTAGTTCTGTAAGCATATAATATACATGATTAAAAATGAGGGATTCTTGAGCCGTTAAAGGAAAGACAATAAAAGTTGTGCCACAATATACTCCTCTGAAGAAGACAAGGTGTCCTACTCAGGTAATTGAGAGAGTTCAGAATAAGAAAAGGAAGAGCGAAACTACCAAAGAGCTCCTAAATACAGTATTGAAATGCTGTCCTATTGTACTTGGATTAACAAAGAAATACTATATTTGGAATAGGGGCTGGTAAAAAGGCTGACTAGAGTAATCAACATAGTATCCGCATCCTGCTATTGTCCACAAGGGACCTTAAAAGGGTAAGTTGGATTATGCCAACCATAAAAGCTTGAGAATAGACAATTAGCTTATTTTAGAGCCCCTCAGTTGTTCCCAATCAGATCCATTTCGTTTTCGTACCCAAACTTGGTTTACCTAAGCAGTTTATAGTTAGAAACACTCGAGAAAGAATCTGAGTCCGTAATTTTAAGATTTTCATTGGACAAGAACTGTATAAGACTTCACCAGCAATTTCCCACTTCTTAGATCAGGACCACTCAAAAGTTCATTGGCAGTTTTGTCCCACAGGTGTTGCAAATAAAGACAGGGATTCAGAAAAACATCAGTCAGAAATGGAATGGAAATGATAACGATGATAATTTACATATTCAAACAGTTTCCCGATCCGAGAATACCGCACAAAGCATCTGCAGATTTTGGTTTGGGCCACTGCTGGTCTAACGGATAATAAGTCGATTGGACTATTCAGGCAATTGGACAATAGACATTGTTTATCACCCCAAAATGTCATGACTTTGGGACACTGTCGAGCTGGACCGAGTGCTCAAAGAGGTAATGTCGTCATATTGTTTAATATATCATCATTTGTCGTATCTGCGTGTCTTGTTCTCAAACACCAATGGGTTTTTTGCTTCTGCTACTTTCGTATCTACCAAACAGGAATACCATCAAGACAACCCATAAATATTTGATGCTTAGGCCAGTGATTGAGGCTAGCTTTGTTGAACGAGCACCATAGCTGAGCGTCACTTGAGTTTTTATCGAGGTGTATGTATGTGCATTGTGAAATCGCACAATCAGACAAAATTAATGAGTAGGCACCGTTGGTCTCCTTTTGGTCTCCTTTTGGTCTTCTTTTGATCTCATCTCATACTAACATAATACCAATTAAAGGTGATATACTTGAAAGGCTGTCCCATTTTTAGATACCCAGGAAAATAATCTGGTTGTTTCTCCCGTTTTGGGAAGTTTCGCAACCTAACTTATATGTACTCTTTTTTATTTGAGTCTTGTTGACAAGATATTTTTCTTGTCTACTAAAAATTCCTCAACACCTATGCCGAAGATTCCGTAACATTCCGTCAGGATGGTACCTCAAGGGATACAAAACCTGAGTGACTTGTGGACGGAGCTTTGAATCCCCCAGGCAAGGAACAGGTATTTGTAATTTGAAGATCCTTGGAGGGTACTTGGAAAATTAATATTCATTATGATAAGAGGATATCTTCCATTATGACGTATTGTGGTAATCCAAAACCCCTTCAGGCTTACGTTTTCCAAGGCGTTGAAATGGCACTTTGTTACCTAATAATTTTCGGATATTGTATGGCATATAAGAAGATGCACCGCGTCTGTCTAGTGCGAGCTTATGCAAGCACTATAACTGGGGCCGGCCTTGTGCATGAATGGACAATGTAATCAGAAAGTATCAAAAAGAAAGTGGGAAAACATTCCGTTCTTTCATTGGAAGACGCCAGTATCCAACTTGACTGTGACTGTTTTTTCTTTCTAGATAACTCCCTAACCTCCTTCGCATTTGACAAACCAAGAAGACTGAGGACGTATAACATTCGTTCTGTATCTGGTTATTACCAGTGCTTCCATTGGAAAATCTTTGGCATGTTAAATCCGAGCGATCATGTAGAATGATAACACATGTTTCTCTAAATTTTGGTCATAGGCACTCGAATGCAAACTGGAACTAGCTACAAAGGGATGAGTCGGTAGAACACAGGTTTCTGAATGTGTATGAGCTAGAATATTTTCTCCGTGGTGTAAGACAAAGTTACACACCCCTTCGTAAAGTATGCTGACGTAAAGTATGCTGAACACTCAAGCAACCAGCAAACTATTTGTGAAGAAAGTGACAAGGCCCGTTGACCTATGATATGTCTTGAATATTTGCTGCAAATTAGGAGTTGAGGGAGATCAGGTAAGAAGGCTCAAGAAAAGGGAGTGCAAAAATTAAATATGAGAACTACACTGAATAAAGGAGATTGTAAGGCTTCCAAAGCAAGAAGTTCAGTGACATAGATAATCTCACCGTTTCATTAATTTCTAGCTCCTCTAGTACAAGCATACGATTTGATTTAGTGTCTCCTATCAGGGTCCCCCTCAAGTTGGAATAACAATCATAGCATAAATATGCTAATAACTCTTGATTTCCCTCGAGTAATCGATATATAGAGAACATAGTGCCAGGACCGATACTTATCAAAACCAACGGGGTTCGCGATCGTATCATCACAAAGAGAAGAGTAAAAGCATCCTCACCACTGAATCTGAAAATTTTACTGTAATGATATTTCTATCTAATTAATGAATCGAAAGTTTGGATAAGATAGGAATTGTGAAACAAAGGTTCAAGGATTCCATTTCATCTGGACGTCTAAACCTAAATCTTCCAGCCGAAGACCACTTTTGTTTGATCGATGTCATTCTAATAGTACTAATTAATAGTTAGTAAATACGTATATAGAAAAGTATAATGAAGGGCCAATGAGCTATGGTATGTATTAAAGCTTCCTACTGGGAAACGATACAGGTACGTTTCTGTACGAAAGTGGCTGCAAAAAAGAAGGAAATTTACCTAGTTGTCGTTCAGTAGATATTAGACTTTTAGGGACATAATACTGATATTAGGTTCCAATCTAACCAGCCCAATGCTTGGAAAACTTCACCAAGGCACATGGCTGATCATGTCTAATAAATTAACTAAATACATTTAGGGGTGCGAGATTGGTCTATCCAGGCGTAGTGCGATGGCATTTTTGTGCACCCTCACTTTGTTGCTGGTGCCCTACGATGCCAGGCTCTGTTCACCGCGCGTGAGTCTTATTCCCGCTTTCCTGTTTGGGCCTTTTTACCGAGTGACTCAGTTATTCGGCTGGCGCCTGGCTGCGAAAATGTCTATATATACTGAAGTGCAAATCCTATATTCCATCACTCAATAACCATGAGAACTACTGTCCTAAGCATCAAGGCCAACTTGGAGAATTGTACCGACGTTGAGCCCGTCGATAACGAAGATTACCCTCATGACTATGGGTTCACCATAGAGTGTAAAGCTTGCAAATTCAGACACCCGAAACAGATTATGGTCAATCGTTTTGACACAGAACACGTACAGCTTTATGTAAACAAGCCCACACGGGTAGTGAATTTCTCCATTAAGTGTAAGGACTGCCGCAGAGTCCTTTTCATTATTTTAAAAAGAACCGAGCAATCTTTGACCTTACAAGACTCCGAACACGATACCTTTGTTCCTATTCTTGATGTGCATACCCACGGGTGTATCATAATTGACTTTTCCCTTGAGGACCAGTTTCAGTGCAAAACTATGAAAGGAAAGGTAATAGACGGTGTGGACCTCCGAGGTAATGATTGGAGTGAATTTGACGAAAACGGTAATGTTCCTATGACTATCACTGATTTCTCGTACAAACTCACGACTCTAGATGGAAATGCGGAAGTAACCAAGTTAAATGATTAATTGTTTTAATATAAAAATCGCAAATTTCACCCAAACTAGATATTTGATAGCATTAACTATTTCTTTGTTCAAGATTTAGTAGGCAGATTCACACGGAGAAGCAGAACATAATAGCAATTTTTGCCGGATTTTTAGGATCCTATTTCCCCTTGCCATCGTTATTTCAGCACGCTCGGTGGTTATCGCCGATATCAAATTTTCGCAACCACTGCGGCAGGATCGGCAGCAATTTAATATAAAAGTTTAAGGAATCCCTTTTTTTTGTTTTCCTAAACACGAATTGATCATGTCAGATATTGGAAAGAAACCAGGAATTCAGTTGTACAGCAAGGAGTACTACGCCGCTGGTGCAATTGGTGGTCTCATTGCTTGTGGTCCCACCCACTCTGCTGTGACCCCCTTGGACCTTGTTAAATGCCGTCGTCAAGTGGATTCTAGTTTGTACACCTCGAACGTGCAAGGTTGGAAGACGATCCTCAGAACCAAAGGAGACTCTATTTTCACCGGGGTTGGTGCTACGTTTGTGGGCTACTCGTTTCAAGGAGCCGGAAAGTACGGGTTCTACGAATACTTTAAGAAGACCTACTCCGACGTGGTGGGAAAAGAGTATGCCGATAAGTATAAGACCGGGGTGTATTTGGCAGCATCTGCTCTGGCAGAGTTCATTGCCGATATTGCGTTGTGTCCATTTGAAACCATCAAGGTTAAGACCCAAACCACCATTCCACCGTACGCTACTTCGGTTGTAGATGGCTGGAAGAAAATCACTGCTGCCGAAGGAATTGCCGGGTTGTACAAAGGATTGACGCCTTTGTGGTTCAGACAAATCCCTTACACCATGGTGAAGTTTGCCAGTTTTGAGAAGACGGTTGAACAGATATACTTATATTTGGGTAAACCGGTGTCTTCTTATACTCCAGTCCAACAAACCGGAGTGTCGTTTTTGGGAGGTTACATTGCCGGTATTTTCTGTGCTATTGTATCACACCCTGCCGACGTGATGGTGTCGAAGATCAACTCGGAGAAGAAGCCAACCGAGTCGGTGGGACAAGCAGTTCTGAGAATCTATTCAAAGATTGGGTTTGGTGGGCTCTGGAACGGGTTACCCGTGAGAATTGCCATGATCGGAACATTGACTGGGTTCCAGTGGTTGATCTACGACTCGTTCAAAGTGTCTATTGGTTTACCAACAACCGGAGGACACTAAATATTTAGAATTGGTGTGTATTAATAAAGATGTCACTCAAATGTGAGTAAAGGCCATAGACCCAAATAGGCCCAAATGTGCCGTTTCTATTGGTTACTTCCACACGTTCTTAAAAAGGTCATCGTCTAAGACGTCGGTACGGATTTTGTTGCTAGGAGGTTGGGTGTTTGAGCTCATATCTGACCACTCGTTATTCCAGCCGGCTGGCGCTTGGGTAGAAGGTGTCGATTGTGCAGCCAGTGACAGAGAGTTGGTGGAGGTGCGAGAAGAAGCAGCCGAAGCAGGGCCTCCGAAAGACAATCCTTGCAAGGAGGTGGCTAAGTCAACCTGCTTAGGCGGCGTGTGTTGGGGAGTTTGTTGACGTTGTTGATAATATTGTGGTTGTTGCGGCTGTACAAAACTGGAGTTCAGCGATGAGGGAGATGAGTACAATGACAAAATGGATTTTTTCAAGTCTGGGCGTCCGGACATGCTGCCGCCAGTCGACTGAGGAGAGGCCACAATAGGCGAGGATGGTTTTGGAGGCACTGGCGGGTGTTTTGAAGTGGTGCTTTTGATCACCGACGGAGCAGAAACCGACCCTGGAGTAGAAACCGAGGCCGATGTGAACAGACCAAAGTCGTCATCTAGCAAGTTGTGTGATGGTTGGACCGACTTCGAATGCGGAAGGGTGGAAGAAGTGGTGGTGGTCGGGGTGGTGCCTCCTCCTCCGAGCGTCAGGGGGTCGGGCACCGTTGCAGATGCAGCCCACTTACGCATATCGTACTTTGTTCTTATGAAGTTTTCAATCTTCAGCTGGTCAGGAACGTAGCCCTCAGGCAACTTCGATTCCCAGAACAAATTACAGCGTTTGTTCCCCCATCTAACCATCAGCTCCACCTGTTCATCGGTCCAAGCATCTAGGTCCACACTCTTAACCTTGGATATATGGACGCCCATGCTTCTGTGGATTCCTGAGCATCGGATACATATAAAACATCCCAAGTTCCAAGATGCCCACCTAGGGTGAGCCGACGTCTTACAGTCGACACACACGCGATTATCATCCTCTTTCAAGAGCTGTTTGAGGATCTGTTTGTGTCTCTCTGAGTGGGTCTTCTTCGACGAAGGCAAGGCGGTGGATGAGCGATGCATTGGTGTGGAAGTGAAATGACTCGGAAACAGTGAATCAGTGTCCAAAAAGTTCTTAAATCAGCGGGAGGGTTCCGCGCGCCTGAAGCAGATGTATGCCCAACCGATCGCACTTTTAGGTTTTCACTCGCTTTGTTATTAGCTTTTTCCTTGGTTGGAATCAATTACCATTATTTATATTTACATCGGGACCCATCACATTCCAGTCAATACGCCCTAATATCCTTACTTTGCATATCCATAGGCGCCCCTTTATTCTGCCTTATTTGCATGATTCACCGACTTTTGACCACCCGATGACTAGTAAAAACTATACCACCAATACCGGCATGTCCCGACCGTCGTATACCTGTGAACAGGTAAAAGCCCACTGCCAGCCCAAGGACTTGTGGATGATTGTGTACAACAAGGTTTATGATCTCACCAACTTCATTGAGCTCCATCCGGGAGGAATTGAAGTTATGATTGATTGTGGAGGAGTTGATGCCACAGAAGCATTTGATGACGTGGCACATTCTGACTATGCTCTTGACATGCTACAGCCATACTTTGTGGGGGACTTGGTTCCGTGGGAGCATCGTCCGTATAAAACTGCTCGGGCTCAGTTCCAAGAAGCAGATAAGCGTAAAGAGCAGTTAAAACGAGAACGAGCGACATTGGCTCGACAGAGAAAGAAAAACAAGCTTTGGAAGCGGCGTGTTGAAAGAATCACGTTAGTGGTGCTTCTGATGGTGGCATTTGGCACGGTGCTATTTTACTTCTTATTACAACGGATGAAATTAAATTATTATAGCGACATTTAGGATATTTATTAATGCACTGGGTGTGTAAGACGGCGGATGAACAAGTGGTACGTAGAGCTTTAGAGACTTTTTTCGAGGACACTACCAATAATAACTAGAAATTGATCCAACAAATCTACATCGAGCAATGATGCACACATTCTTTTTAGGGGTGAGAGATGCGAGCCAACCAAAAAAATAGAAGAGCCAGCCCGACGCGGGGATCGAACCCGCAACCTTTTGATTAAGAGTCAAATGCTCTACCGATTGAGCTAGCCAGGCTCTTCGCTGCTATAAAGAATCTTGGCATGTTCATCTGGGGGAATGTCCATCAAGAGTTTGGCATACCACCTAATACCTCTATGATTCTTTTCGTTCCCCCGAACTATCATCAAATCTTTCAATAAATTTTAGGCGTGTTAAACATAACTGTATTGGAGCCTCGTCGATGATCTCATTTGTTCATTATTTAATTATAAAAATACATCCAACCAAATACAATGCAAAACCACTTAATCACCGGCACTGCTCGAACCTTCATGCATCAACTCATGAATCTCATCACTATCAAAAATATTGCTTCCTGATTGAAGGGTTTGTGCCATTATCACCAATGAGTCGGCATTAAAATCGGGCTTTTTTCTAGCTTCATCTAAATCATCACCAAACCGCTGGGCCATGAGTTGCAAAAACTTCTTATCAAGCTCGTCACGTTCTTTGGAATGCTTTGTGACTAGATCCTCCTGCGCCTGGATGGTTGGGTCTGTTCTAGAGGCTTTGGCGTTTTGGTCAGTGAAGGGTACCTGTTTCAAACGGGCTTGAATGGCGGTTTGAAGTTCGTCCAATGCAGCGATATCGGGGTCGGCACGTGGCTTGAGGTCCGATTGGGGAGTTTTAACTTCATTGGGGCTATCGGAGTTGGGTTGTATTTCTTCCTCATCTTCAGATGAGGACGATGAGGAAGAGGATGAGATATCTTCAGTTCTTCTTTTCTTCCGTCTTCTAGATTTGCTCGGCCCTTTTCGGGCATGCTCTATAGTCAGAGATGTAGACATTTGCCTTTTTATCACGCTGAGATGAAATAGAAGCAACGGTTGGGTTCTAGTCCAATGAGGTGGAAGTTTTAAACTGTCAAGCGTTTTAGAGTTTTTTTTCCCCTTGGTTGCGAAGTCTCATTAACTATAAAATTGCAATACACTATTGTTTGACCCGTTTGGCGTTACCATCCTTGGGCTTGGGTTTACGTTTCTTCACCATTCCCGAGAGGTCGTTCACCGTGGGCTGGGAGGCAGCAGCACTGCCACCGGGAGCACCGGCTCCTGAAAGCGCACTGATGAGGTTGGCTCCGGACAGCTTCCCCATGAGACCTTCCATAAGGGCTTGTTTCTGTTGATCGATGGCTGCTTCAGCCGTGCCGTCAATCTCATCATATCGGTCACGTAAGCTCTGCACGATGTCATCGTTGTCTGTTTTTTTGTTGGGGTGTTTTTCTGAGTCGTTATTGAGAATGATGATAGCTGCTTTGATATGGTCTCTCGCCTTATCCTTAGCAGCTTCATCTTCGAGACAGAACTCCAATGCCAACGAGAGCTTGAAGTGTGATTCTCCCACAAGAGGTGAGAGGCTTTTGTCGTACAATTGAGTCCTCATGTCAAGACACTTTTCGAGATCGTTTGCAGCCTGCTGGAAATGCTCGGACTCCAAAGATACTTCACCTAAAAGATCATATACCTCCGATAACAGCTTCAAGGTTTTGACAAACTGGTTAGAAGGCTCCTGTTTGTCCGACTCGAGATATGGAATCGTGAGCCCAACTTTAAGGTGATGGTTGTCTTCTAGTCTCTTCTCGAAGAGGCCTCTGGAAACCTCAAGAATATCCCATGCCAACTCCAAGTCGGATTTTTCTTCTTCCTCGCTGGCGCCCTCCGCTCTCTCTCCTTCGTCCCCTTCCTCTTCTTCTCCGTCGTCCTCTGCCACTTCTCCTTCATCTTCATCCTCATCTTCTTCAATATCTGCTGCTAAAGAATTGAACTGGAAATTCCCGTCCTTTTCATCCTCCTCGCCCGCCACAGAACTCTTCAGTTCTTCAATCTTCTCGTTGGTGATCTGCTCTCCGCCCAACACGTCACTTTTACTGACTCCACTCTCATAAAGAGCTTTACCGTAGAGAAGAAACAAATCCGGGTCCATTTCACCGGTTTCTTCCTGGTTCAAACCACACGCCTGGCCAAACATATCTACCGCTGTCTCGTAGTCTTTCTGACCCAACGCTTGCGCCGCCAGTCGAAGTAATTTCTCCACTTGTTCGGAATATGCCATGTTTTACTGTTGGTGTTTGCTGCGACAAAAAAACGCGTATAAAGAAGTGCGACTTGCGATTCGGTAGCGGCTCACTAATCCCATCCACCATAAATTGATTATCGATTACTCCCGGACATGTCAGGTGACAGTCCCCATACAACCCCCTCACGCAAGTCGTTGCGTCGCAAACCGCCGCCGGCTTTCCCCCAACCTAATGGGCCTGAAAACGCTGAGTTTGCCCCTTCGGCGTCTCCTTCAATCCTCCACATTTCGACTCCCGCCATTGGTATTTCAGAGGCATATGATAACCATGTGTTCCAACCAGTGGGCCTAGAAGGAGGTCTGTATCGCCCTATGGGGCCCAAGGAGTTGCCCGAATATGATCCAAATGTCACAAACTATGATCCGATGGGATACGAGACTTTTGAAAGATCTCCACCGTACCCGGTCCAGGACCCAGCTTTTATCGAGAGTCCGGTGGATATGGAGCCCATGTCACCATCGCGAGATCCCTGGCAAACGACGTTCACACCAAGCCGAAAAGCAGAGATTTTGGACCAATCTACCACAACACCCACCAAAATTCCTTTCCTTGGAATCCCCAGTCTAAGTGCTAATGGGCGGCAACGCCGGACCCCGTCTCCAGAACGCATCAACACCTTTTCTACCCCCGTGTCCCGTGTGACTCGCGAAGAGAGCTTTATACGCACAAATTCCGTCACTTATGGTAGTCCTCGCGCAAGCCGGTCCCCGTCTCCAAAAAAGTTGTACGGGCGGTCTCCGTCGTTGATCTATGATCGATTCCAACGGGATACAGCTGACGAGTTGGTGTTTGACGACAGTTTTGTGGAGAATGACGAAGAGTTAGTGGAACCAGAATGGGAGCCCATTCATGATTCTGACTATGAATCGGAGCCCGAAGAGTCTCCTACTACCGGATTTTTTGACTACTCGATTTTGCCAGACTTACCTTCTGCCATCACCAAAGAAGAGTCTACTGATGGGTCGCCCACGAAGCGGATGACCTTGAACTCGGCCATCTCGTTTGTGAAGGGAAATACCTATTTTGATGAAGAAGGACTCGTTAGGATGGGAACAAGGAAAAAGAATGAGGACCTTCCTCCCGTACCGCTAGATCTCCCCAAGTTACCGTTCTCGTCGTCTTCACTCGTGAGCCGCCATTTCTCCGAGTGCCCAAACGTGTGGTGCTTAAGCGATGTGTTTTCGTGGTGCTTGAAGCTACGGATGTGGATCCACGACCAGCTTATTCTGAAAAAGGAGTTCAAGAGGGCCTTGATCAAGTTGTTGGTGTACCACAAAAGAGACGTTCCGCTCGATACCATTGGCCCTAACGTGGATCAGATTGTACTGAGCTTGGTGTCGGCAGGGGCCATCGCCTTTGACTATGGAACTCTACCCAACGAAGATGGTGAAAAGGCTTTACCCAATCCCGTGGGGATTCCAGATGACGGAAAACCCACCAAATCGAACCCCGGCGTAATTCTTTATGAAGGAGTCCATGTCAGTGGTGTGTTAGTGGATCTCACTAGTTGTTACTGTAATAGTCGAGATCACAAACATGAGAATGAGCTTAAACTTGGTGATGTCAAGTTGAGGTGTTTTTCCTCACAGTGCTACCTCAATAGAGTTCTCGACTATGAAGCGAAGTTCAGAAACACGGATATCAATGAAATAGTGTTGGGAGAAGACTGGGCTTCTCATTGGAAATTGACAGCTGACGACTTGAAACAATACGATAAAGATGTGTCCAAGAAGCAGTCGTTATTGTTCGATTTGTTGAGATACGAACAAACCTTCATTCAAAGGGCGAAGTGCTTTGTTGAGGTAGTGGGCCCCGATTTTGTCAAAGCGGTTCGAACTCTCATAGGATCTCAGCAGATCGTACTGATGGGAAAGTTCGATGATGACGTTATAAATCCCGGGAAGGAATTGCTTCAAATACATCAAAAGTCTCTCTTCGAACCCTTACTCAAGATTTTGATCTCAAACGGGAAATTCATAAAGGATATCGTCGATATCGGTAACATATACTACAACTGGTCTCAAGTGGTCAAACCAGCCCTCTTGAAATACATGAGTACGGTTCCAATGATAGAGGAACTATTGAATACCCCTGTTATCAAACAATGGGTCGATGTTAATGTTAGGAAAATGACTCGAGTTAAAGAACTCAAAGTCAATGGCCCTCTCTTATTTATGAGCACGTTTAACTCTCGTTACCAGCAGCTACCTTTACAGTTATCTGATATCGTGTCGCAGTTTGATGAGACCGATTCCGACTATGCTGCTTTAATGAAGGCTGTAAATGGTATTAAAAGAACTGCTGCCAGAGTGAACGAGATGAAGAGCCATGCCGATAACATCCACTGCCTTAAACGGATTCTGCAACAGCTTGTATGGAAGAGCAATGTTGCAAAGCCGAACCTCAACATTGGATCAGAAAATAGAAGGCTCATCTATAGAGGAGATTTGACAAGAAAAGGTGACTTGAGGATCAATTCTTCCCTAAATCAAATAATTCTTTTGGACAATTACATGCTTATAACAGACAGAATCAAAAATAGCAAAAGCCCTATGGCCCAATATAGGGTAGTAGAGAATCCTATCCCAGTGGAGTTTTTATTGGTAGAAGTGAGGGAAAAGGAATCTCCTACAATTGAGTTGAATTCAATCACAAAGACTCTTACTCTGCTGCCACAACAAGCGTACCCCAGACATGAACTTCTTGTCGACCAAGAAGACCCTTCCATATATCCTTTCAAGGTAAGACACGCAGGTCATGGAAAAAACAATTCCTTTGTGTTTTCTACAAAAACAGAAAGAGATAGAACCATTTGGGTAAACCATTTAATGGACGCCCGTTCAAACTTGTGTTCACGGTTGAACAAAGTCGAACCATACAACTTGAAGCTCATATCAAACACGTGCTTTGCCTACGAAGAATCCAACAGGGTCACCAAGTTGCAGTCGTTGAGTCCAAATGACCCCATCGAAAAAATGTCGACAAACTCTCTAAGCATCATGAATAGTTTGGGGTATACTGGCGACCTTTATTCGTTCAGTAATACATCCAAACATGTTGTTTTCAGTACCGTTAGGTCCTCGGCGAGCTTTGCCTATAACAGCACCAATTTCTTCTTCGTTGGAACTAGCAGTGGAGTGTACTGCAGTGACATGGTCCATGGTTGGAAGCGGGTGGTACTGATTAGTGACACCACCAAGATATCGGTTCTTCCAAAGATCAACTTGGTGATAATGTTGAGCAATAACAGCTTGAGATATTACCCGTTAGACGTTTTGATCAACTACTACTACGGCAGAAGGGATACTGTAAGTAGTGTAGCCTTATCAAGTGATGCGGTTTCGTTTTTTGAGGTGGACAAGCACCGAGAGATCACGATGCTTTTCTATGCCAAGAAGAAGGGAAACTCTTCTGGAGCCACCAACTTCAAGGTTTGTGTACCAGAAACCGACAATGACGGAATTTTTAGTGCCTTTAAAGTGGTGAAGAAGTTCTACGTGCAAGCCGAGTGTTTTGGAATCTCCATCTTCAACAGCTCATTTGCTGTCTACACCAGTAAAGGAATCGAAATTCTTGAACTCGATAAGCTCCTCCCCAGATCGGTCCCTGAGATTCCTAATTTGGATTCACTGACCAAAAAGATCGACGTTTATTCCCGAAGATCACTCCCAACCACCCCAAATGCCCCTGAGATCGACAACATACGGAGAGCCATCTATGGCACCAGCTCCAAGCCCATGGGGATGTTCAAGCTCAATAACAACTCGGAGTTCCTCTTGGTATATAACGAGTGTGCGGTGTTCATCAACAAGCATGGAAAGCTCTCGCGGTTCTCAATGCTTCGTTTTGACTACAAGGCTCGCTCCATAGGATTCCAGGACAACCATCTCTTCATTGTGTGTGAAGAGGCCATTGAAGTATGGTCCATCAGTGACTTTGTCAAAGGTACCAACCGGCTCATCCAGGTAACAGTAGGAAAAGGCATCCGAATGGTCAATCTGCAGTCTTTGATCTTCTCCATGGCCAACCCCACTGTTCCTGGACTTCAATTGGTGTTCCAGCTCCTGACCAAATCACATTAACATTAGTGTATATTATGTAACTTATGCGTATATCGGCCGAATCGGTAGTGGACCTCGGCAGTAGGTGCAACTCCGCGCGAAACTTGGGGAAACTTTGCAAACCTCACCAACCGCAGTTCTTTTTACAAAAGATATACAATGGTTGATTTTAATGTCCAAGGCAAGGTTGCTGTAGTTACAGGAGGTACCAGAGGATTGGGTCTCTACTGTGCTGAGGCATTTGTGTTGAACGGGGCCTCCGCAGTGGTGATTTCATCTAGAAAACAGAAGGCATGTGATGAATCCAAGAAGTACTTGGAAAAATTGGCTGCTGACAACGGGAAAACTTGCCGGGTGATTGGAATTGCTGCCGACGTTTCAAAGGAGAGCGACTGTAACCTCTTGTTCGAAGAGACCAGCAAACATTTCAAGAAAGTCGACATTTTGGTTGCTAATGCTGGTGCTACTTGGGGGGCCCCCATTGGAGATCATCCGATCTCAGCCATGCACAAGGTATTGGCATTAAACGTGGTGGGAGTATTCAACTGTATCCAGTTGTTTACTCCTTTGTTGGAAGAAGCTGGGACCCCCGAAGATCCGGCCCGAGTAGTTATCATGTCTTCTGTGGCCTCTATTGTGTCTTTAGATGCAGCAGGAGTATACGGTTACACTGCCTCCAAGGCCGGTGTCAGCCACATGGGAAAGTCATTGGCACTTCAGTTGGGTCCCCGGAACATCACTGTCAACTCGCTTGCTCCTGGCTACTTCCCAACCAAGATGGCCAACGGACTTATTGAAGTGGCTGGAGACATTTTGGTGGACACCAACCCCAGAAGAAGATTAGGAGAGAAAGAAGACATCCAAAGTGCCATTTTGTTTCTCTGCTCCAAACAATCCAACTACATCAACGGAGTGGTATTGCCATTGGACGGTGGCACGCACTTGGCTCCAGGTGCACGGTTGTAAAACCTGATGATGTTGTAGTAAATATCAATGTACGATTGAAATTTAAAAGCGCGCTCGAGAAGTCATTTTCATTCAAGTCACCAGACCATGGGAGCAAACTCGTCAACATTACTAGACTCCCTTATGGAGGGTACAAGCTTTGACAAAACCGAAATTGATCGGTTGAGAAAGCGGTTCATGAAGTTGGATAAGGATGGAAGTGGAGCCATTGAAAAAAATGAGTTCCTTGCTATTCCTGGAATCTCATCTAACCCACTCGCCAGTAGGCTAATGGATGTATTTGATGAAGATGGAAGTGGCACCATTGATTTCCAGGAGTTCATTGCTGGCTTGTCGGTTTTCAGTGGAAAGACGTCCAAAGCAGATAAATTGAAGTTTGCATTCAAGATATATGACATTGATCGGGACGGATACATAGGTAATGGAGAATTGTTTGCGGTGATGAAGATGATGGTAGGAAAGAACCTACAGGATGAGGATCTTCAGCAGATTGTGGATAAGACGATGATGGAGGCCGATGGTGATGGAGACGGTCAGTTGAACTTTGAGGAGTTCCGGCGGGCGGTGGACTCCAAGTCCGTGGCGTCTTCCTTGACGTTGAACATGATATAGGATAGGTCTATACACCCACTGAAGTTCTGACCCATACCCCAATGGGACATTGTGACGATAAGGACCTTGGTAAATAAGTAATACGATTTAAATACACATTCTGAAAGATGGAGAGAAGGATATTTTGCAGAAATACACCGTCAGAGATGAATAACGCCAGAGATGAATAACGCCAGATATACATAGCACTATCCATCACTGGACAAAATATACTTCCAGAATCTCCCTACGACTTGACGCATTCTGCCATCTCAATTACACCCAGTCACCTTCAGATCTTATCGCGAATAAATTTGTGCACAAGATAAGACGGATGTATAGCCAGGCAACTCCAAAAAATGGCTCTCTTTTCGAGTCCATAAACCTAGCATCCACCATAAATGACACAAATATGCACAGAACACCTCTAAGAATGCCTCCTGACCTCGAATCGGTGTCAGGGACATCAGATGATGAGGAATTAGATCCCACAGAGTTTCTCTCTTCAGATTCCCCCGAACTCCTAAAACAACCTCACAATCAAAAAAACGTCATAGATCCCATACCAGAGACTTCGGGGGGAGAGCAGTTGTCCGGTTTAAGCCCCCAAAGCTCTAGCTCCGAGCCGGTTCTAACTGATACTATCCATAAATCAATGCTGATGCTCGACTCAGTCATTCAGGATTCCCTCGTTGACAGCCTCAGCATCCACCTCCCTACTCACAATGGTCAGTACGATTCGGATTCGGAATCCCCAATTCAACATCTCCAACAGAATTTTGATAGGCTCCAGGGCGAACTACGCAGTAATATTGTCCTTCACAAGCTGGCGCTTGAAAAAGGGAGCGATAGTCTTAATAGGCTTCGAGACACCATTGCCGACAATTTGCACCTGTTATCAGAAATTCAGTATTCGTTGAACGAGCTCTACCAGAGAGAATCTGCTCGGAACAAAGAGTTGTGCAACAGGTTCATTAAATGGGATGAGAAACGAAGGAAGTTGCTTGCGAAGATTCAGTATATTAAAAGCGATAAAAATAGCTTCGGGATCAAACTTCTGGGGCTTTTGGACGAGTCCACTAGCTTGGATTCGGAAATCATGGAATATGAAGCCAAACTTCTAAGTTTAAAGGCGAAGAGAAAGATTCTTCAGACTGAAATTGAAGATACAAGCTCAGTCTTAGAAAGTAGAACATCCTTATTCGTGAAGGCTTTTAAGGAGTTGGACCGCAATGGTGAAGTTGCAGTCCTTGCTGCTTTAAGGCAGAATGGGCTTACTGACGAAAAGGCTAATGTTCTTTTGAAGAAGATTGCCGTTGATGTTACATTTGTCAAACACTATGAGAAGAAGCTTGAGCAAAGCGTAAGAGTAAATAGGTCTTCACCTTCCAAGCCTTCCCTGGAAAAGGCCACTACGATTATACAAGATAAGCCCAACAGAATTGAAGTGCAAGCATACGAACCACCAACAAGTCAGATGGGAATGCAGGCATATGATCCTGGAGTCCAAGAGTATGAACCTCCAGCTCACCCTCCAATCCAACGTCCGTACACTGCCAACAGAAACTCCAGTGATCCGTACGATAAAGGGTTTCTGAGAGGGTTTGAGCAGTCTGAAAAGTTCAAACTGCAGCTTCAACATATCTATGAGCAGTACATCAAACCACTACTTGAGCAAAGAGACAGAGAAAAGGGATATAGATCTTTAAAAGTTGATGACAACGAAAATACAGTAACTTCCAAGATTGATCTTGTTCCTATTTTGGAGTTCTTAGAGCACAAAGTGGATGCTTACTCGGAGTTATCGAACAAAACCGGCAAGTTGTCAACAATTTACCACCAATACTCTTCATGTTGGAAGGATGTTTGTAGCTCGATTAGAAAACGGGAAAATGATCTTCAAGCAAGCATTTTTGGCCAAAGAGAAGATGTGGAAAGTGCAATCAGCAGCATTTTGAAGTCGACCCTCGATGATCTTCTTCTATCAGCCGAATACTCCAGTAATATCTCGTCTGATCCCGAAAGCCCATTGAAGAGGTTGATACTCCATGAGGTAAATGCGTTACTTAGTGCCCTTTCAATTGTACCCTCAGTTCAAGAAAGTCAGGTAAAAGACTTTAAAGAAAGATTCGAGTCCAAGGGCATTTCGAAGACCAGGAGGAAAGACCCTCCTTCATACACTCAAAATTTGACTCAGTCGATATCGGAATCAGATTACTTGTACAACGTGAGTAGAAATGCAATTGAGCACAAAGTCATCGATAAGACCAAAACTCACAAAGTTCTTTCAAAGAAGCAGAGTAACAAGAGCCTTAATGGCAAGCTGTTTAAAGGTGAATAAAGGAAAATAGTATGTATTATATAATTTAATCTCTCCTTCTTTTAATAAAAATGCTGCTTCCCTTGTTTTTCTTTGGATTGTACTTACCCCCAGGTTTTGGAGGTAAAGTTCCAGAGCTTGTTGGGAGAGGTTTTTTGTCCTGACCATTGTTGGTCAGTGAGTTGATATGATTATTATAGTCATTTCCAAGTCCTTGAGGTCCAGAGGCGTTTGATTTGTTTCCATATCCTTTGGGTTCCCTAGGCACATCTGAGTTATCTCCAGTATTCTGAGCATCAGTTTGGTTCTGTTGGGGATTTTTGTGGTCAGATTTCCATTGGGAGAACGACTTTTTAAGCTTTATGGATTCGGATGACGCTTGGTATTCGGACATCCGAGAACTACCTTCTGTATCGTTACTGTCATTGGACTCAAGGCTAGTGTTGGCTTCTGTGTTTGGCTCTACAAATGAAACCTTTTTGAGCTTCTTCTTGGACTTTTCAGATCCATCCAGTTGTCTTTTTTTGTTGGTTTCAGCCGGTTTTACCGAAAAATCTTGGGGTTCATTGTTTGATCTAGCAGGAGTGTTGATTTGGCTGACATTAACCAATTCCTTCTTTAGAAACCCAGGATATGCTTTTGTGACCTCTTGTCTCAGTCTCGCATCTTCTATCAAGTTCTTCCAGTTCTTGTTCCTGGTCAACGATGCTGCATTACCCAAGATCCAAAGGGACGACTTGGCACGAGTTAAAGCAACATTCATACGACGAACATCGCTCAAAAACCCAACTCCACCAGCTTCATTTGCTCTAACACATGACATGATAATGATATCCTTCTCTTGACCTTGGAAACCATCGACTGTGTTGAAATCGATTTCATTTAGAATGAGGTCTCCAAACTTCCTGGTAAAAGTTCTCTTAAGGACTTTAATTTGTTCCTTATAGGGTGAAATGATACCAATAGATCCAGAAAACTGCTTATCTGGCAAAATGTGCATGAGCTCTTCGACCATCTCTAGTGCAACTGTAGCTTCAGCCGTATTGAAAAGGGACTTGGAGAACTCATTTTGTCTTTGGGAACCGACAATGTCAAAAAATCTATAAGCTGACAAAGGAAACAAATTGTGCCATGGTCTCAGATTCTTCTCCAACATGCCATCACCATCCTTTAATTTTCCATCATAAAAGTTCTTACTTGGGAAAGCTGCAATTTGAGGATGCATACGATATTGAACATCTAACAAATACACAGACTCTGGGTATGTGCTCTGCATCCGTACAAACAAACTCTGGTCATATGAATATCGAGTGGCTTCTTGAGACAAAACCGTGGGAGGAAGTTGGTTCGGATCACCAACCATGATACACTGCTGACAACCATACCTGAGGGGTATAATAGCGGATAATTCCACACACTGACATGCCTCATCAATGATCACCTTATCGAACTTTATAGACAACCCAGAAAGAAAGTCATGAGCTGATCCCGATAAGGTGGAACAAATGATTTGAGCATTGTTCAAGATTCCCTCTTGAATCTGCCTTCTCTCAATTTCCTTAGTACGATGGGCAATAGTGGCCCTTTCTCTCTCAGTGTCCAATTGTTGAGAGATCTTATTCCTTGTCTTGGTTATTTCTCTGATTTTAGCTTCGATCTTTTCTTGCTCCGAATCATCTAGTCCTGGTTTTCTTTTGGATTCTATTAACACTCGTCTTTCTGCTGTAAGTTTGATATGCTCTTGTTTGAGAGCACCATCCCTCTTAGGATCGGGAAGATTCTTCTCTGCCAACCGCCTCTCGACTAATTCTTCTAAAGTAAACTCCCTCACAGCTGAATTGACTGCATCAGACCGACCAAGCCGTACAACACTAGGAGAAATCAATTTTCCAGATGAGTTGATCACTCCTTCTTTCAATCTTAAAACCAATTCATCGACGGCAGCATTACTGGGGGCACAAATGAGCACTTTTTGGTCTTTGGAGATCTTTGCAGGGCCGGTTCGAACCATCACTGCACTAGCGGTGCCACTTGTATCCTCAAGACTGTACCCTACAATACCAAGAATGGTCTTTGTTTTACCGGTACCAGGGGGACCTTGAATAAGAGAAAACCCATGTGCTTGTTGGGTCCCTAAGATGGCATTGGCTTGAGACCTGTTGACTTTGTACGTCTTAATGACCTCCTCAAGCTCCGAGTCAGTATTCTTGGCTGGTAATGCAGGTGTTGCCTTCAAGATTTCAGGGCATAAATCGTAATACATCAAACCCTTTAATGATGAATATTCTCTTTCCAAAGTGACCATAGGCATAACCTTTATACCAACCAAGGATGATTTGGGGGTAAGAAAACTTAACATTGGTCCACTAGAAGCAACTCTGATGGTAACATCAGCCACTTCTTGGTTGAATGATTTGATTTGCTTAATCTTGCCTAGACATGTTACAGTAGAAGGCAATTTCAAATATCTCTTGTTTGACTCCTGTGGAATAGATTCATCGGCCGCAGTCAACACAATCAAGTCAGTTTCTGTTAGCTTTCTATCGGCAATTTCTGCCTTCTTTATGGTACATATCAAGTCAAAGAACCCATCACATGAGAGTCTTGTGCCCAAAAATACATCAAACGGTTTTTCATCGTTTCTATCTTTACAAGACTGAATTCCAGCCCAGCATTCGAGCATTAAAAGCGGTTCAACATTGTTAACATAATCTTTCACATCTTCGTACGTATTAGCTGTTGGTTTGCTAGGAAAGAAATCCTTATCTGGGTATTCAGTACTGTTGAAGTTCCACTTTAGGATTCTATAATATAATCCCTTCAAATCCACATTCAAACGCATTTGCATTCTCTGCTGCTCAATTTGCTGTCTGTCAATACGCCTTGCTGAAGAAGCAATTTTGGTGATGGGTTTACCATCGATACCAATTTCCACAACCCTAGGCTTGGCCTTTTTCTTGTCCACAAACAAATCTGTAGTATCTACTCCATCATCATCCATATCCTCATCTTCAGAACTGTCAGACCCATGCCGCTTCTTGAGGCTATTTAATGACCTTCCAACCACCACCTTTTTAGAGTTAAACCCAGCGGGTCTTGGTGGAGCTGGGGCTATAGTGTTTGTTTTGTGGGGGACAACAGTTTGACGTTGAGACTTCAATTCGTTTCGAAGAATATCAAGCGTTGACATGGGTACTTCCTTCACTTCCACATCAGGTTCAACCGATGGAGACTTGGAAACCATGCCAAAGTTGGATAGTGTCATTTGTTTGCTCTTGTTAGTTTGGCTGGACCACGAAGTTTTTGCATTGTCTGGTTTAGGTGTGCTCAGTCTGGAAGAGGAATCCTCACTTCTGGTAGGTGAGAAATTAATTATGGTCTCCTTGACTAACTCGGGGTCCAAGGACTTGACTTCGGCAATTATCGAATTCCTTTGTTGCTGGGTTAGCTTATTGTTGTACTTTCTAGCCTTGACTCCATATTTGACAAGCAGTACCACAATGTCCTTCTTTATCTCCAAATGATTATCTTTTGCTAGCTCAATACCCTTGAGAACTAGGCTCACACACGAGCTTAACAAAGACATATCTCCTAGTCTTAACCAGACAATAATACTTTCGAAAACATTCAAGACTTGGAGAGTAAATTGTTTGGAAGCATCTTCATCTCTGACAAAATCCAAAAATATTCCAGAAGAATCGATTAAAAAATGACTTAAATCAAGTGTATCTCTAGTGAATTCAACCAACAGTTCTGAATGATATAGGGTAGCCCATTGTAATGTTTTCTTGTAGAGCATAACCAAAAAGCTCCAGCAACATGCCCAAATATCCCTGATTAGAGATTTGATTCCAGCATCCGATTCCCTACCACTGAAAATATCATTGATAGGTTCCGCTAAAATCCCAATTACGTCCATCAAAAACCTGACTAGCTTCTTACACGGCTCGAAAGCTTCCAACAGGGTCAAATAACGTACACTGCTGATGACACCTTTTAAGGATGTATCCAAATAGCCTTTAAACAAAGCCTTGATTCCCTCGTATCTTCCTTCAACATCGAAGGCTTGGTAAACTATGTCCAAAGCATTTTGAGAAAGAGTTTGGGAAAACAAACAAGACCAAAGCCCATCCATAGAAACAGGGTTCTTGAATATCTCTTGGATAAATGAAGGTTCTCCCATCCCAATCTTCTCCAATATGGAGTTTATCTTAGCTGTAATGATCACCACTTGTTGGTTGTGGGCCTTAAAAGACGCCGTAAGTACTTGATCTTTTGGGTCCGTGACTTTCTTTGGAGTAAACTCAACTACTTTACAAGCATATCTCAAGGAGCTGAAGATGCCAAATACCAATGTCGAGTTTGACATAGGGATTAGAGATACTGTGCTCCATAAAATAGGGAATGAGTCGTATACTTTCGGCTGCTTCTTCAGTGCCAACATGGTCGTACCAGAACTCAAGATCATAATGTCAAATTGAAAACAGTTATTAAGCAATCTGTACATCAGATGATCGTTGTTCACATTTTCCACAAATAACTTGAAAGTAGGAGCATGTAAGTCAATAAGGGCTCTAATATCTCTTCTTCCCAATACATCCAACTCAAAGTTTTCGCTGTTGATGTCCAACAGATCTAAGCAAAAGTCCAATACCGAACATAACACTTCGAAAACCTTAATGTCCTTCTCCAATTTTGGGTTAAAATCAAGCTGGAAAAGAAATCTACCTATTTTGCAAACAGCCGTTATTCTACTAGAGCCTGTGAGCGTCTTACAGAATGGAAGCAACCAGCTTAAACATTGACCCACCAACTCTGAATCATTTCTTAGAATGAACAACCTGAAAAACTTGTTGTTAAGTATGAGATCCAATACGTCTCCAGGAACTGCCGGCATCATTGTTGACCAGATAATCGGCCCAAGCTTTTCGAGAAATGTACCAAAGAACCCTAAAATATAAGGTAAAGGTTGAGAAACCGAGGCACGTAGTTGGTTCAAAAGCACCGATATGAGTGGTAAATACATAACCCCATCTTGTTGAGACATCTGATTTTTATCCACTGGTGACAAGAATTTATCAGTCAAGTATGTGCTTTCCATATAGTGTTGCAATACGATGCAAACTTTCCAAAACTTTACACAAAGTTCCTCACTATAGAACTTACTATTCTGGACACGGTAGAAGTACTTGGAAAACTGACTGATAATCAAGTCGTTTGGATGGTCGATTGACCATACAACTGCGTCCTTTTGTTTACTCTCGAGGACCCTTTGGATAACCTCAGCAATACTAGAAGGTCCTTCTACCAACAAGTATATAGTACCCGCAAGTAGCTTGTAGTCATTTTCTAGCCTTTCAGGTGCGTGTATGAGATGTACTAGCTTGTGAACGTCCTTGGCGACCTCAGGAAGATCAGTCCAGATATCTGGATCCACGAGACATATGTGAGCTAGTAACTTCAATTCGTCCGGTGGGAGAGAGGACGGAACTGCATTTGCAAATTGGTGGATACGCTCTTTGACAAGTCCAAGTTGCCACAGAGAAATAACCGCCAACACTTGTTTAACCTTGGATATTTCAATCAGCCGTTTCACCACGAAGGTTGAGTACAAGGCGAACTTGGCGTTCCCAAAGCCAACAGCACAATCAGGACACTGTGTAATACAACTTGCAATGGACGGTCGTATCCACTCCGTGAAGGAGTCATTGGGGAAAGAAAATAAAATCAATGTGTGAGATGCCATAGGATTTATAAACGGATCACAAAACCAGTGTCTGCCATTTAGTGGTTTGAGATAAAGGAGACATCTTTTGAGGACCATCTGATGGTTCTCACTGGTACCAGAAGCACTCAAGGATGCCTCAATGAGGTTTAGAATGTTATTGAACTCGGCTGGCGCCTCTAACAAACGAGGTTGTAGGCTTTCAGCCATTCTGTGGTCAATTATTAAAAAATGTTTCGCTCGTTTCGCGTTTGGCATCACCATCGCGTTACAAAAATATGAAGGCTGACACTCTATATCATTAATTCTATAGAAACTTCTTCAATTACAATAATGTGAGGTCAATGTCAAGGCTCTTAGAAGCCTCGATCCAGTCTTCGCCAGTGGACCAGCACCGGCTCATGATTTGCAAACTTTTGGTGGCATGGACGTTTCCCTTTTCTGACAAGGTAATAAACCGTGTTTTGAAGAGCTGTCTCATATCATCGTCTAAAGTGTCACATCCAGCACAGAAAAGACAGAAGATCGAACACACTTCGGCCGAGCTGCTGGAGGCTATAGTACTTACGAGCTCTTGACCCATATCATGGGTTAACTGTTGGATAATTTTGGACTCTCTGGGTATTCTCAATACTCTTCGGTAGAGATTCAAAAGCCCCATATTGAAGAAGAGTTTATTAGTACTCCGCAAAATTTTATCTTGGCGGATCAAGTTCTTCATTCTTTTTGACTTTCTGCTCATTTCTCCTTCGCTGGCGCCTTCACGATGAGTATAATCGCTCATTCGGTCAATGATATACTGTCTTCTTGCTTCTCCATTGGCATAGGTGACAGAAAACTCCTGTTTGACTTCCAAAGCTCGAGTGACAATGTCTATAGGTATATTGTTTTTCTGCTGGTCGGACCCTTCAAGATAGGTATTCATCTTCCGTATAAGCATGACGATGTCGGTGAAATGAGTTAGGAACTTCACATCGAATCCAAGCATATAGTCGATATCCTTTTTGGGGTCAATGGTTTCCGTATCGGGGTTTTGTGGATATACCGAGTTTAACGAATCAGTAATGGCATGATCCCCGTCTGGTTGGTTTAAGTAATATTGGGCACCTCTGGTGGCAGATAAAGCCCCGATAACATCGATATACACAAACCATCTCATGAGGAAGAATGCTATGTCACTCTCGCTGTTGACAAAGGTAGAATCTTTTGACAGAGCAGAATCCGGTGAATCGGTGGGAGACTCTTCCACGGGCTTCGGAGCAATTGGAAGCCTTCGAGCCATTATAATCTGCCGAGCTCCTAGAGCGTGGGCCCGATGCTTTTCAAAGTTGTCACCAACAAGCAGCTCGTAGCAGGAAAGTAATAACACCGTAGCCAAGGTCCCGTCCGAGGTGGCCTCATCCTTATCTTTGAGCATTTTCAAGAGCATGGCGCAAGATCTCGCTACCAACTGATCAACAATTTCTGTAGGAGGCTTGTTCCCAGCAATCAGGGCCATTGAAGTGGCTGCAAATGCCAAAATAGATGTTAATATCGCTGGGTATTCCATGGCCATTTGGGGAAGCAACACCTTGAACGGATTATCTTTGTAGATATGGGAAGGAGCAGCAGAAAGGTTTTCAGCTGCCACATTCACCCAGAAATGCATAAGCTGCTTGTAGTAAGGAACCTGGTTCAAGAGCTCAGGAAGCGAAACCAACAGCGGAGGAATGGACTCAAAAGAGTATTGTAAAGAGTGGTTCAATTCACCGTCTGAAACAGGCGAAGCACCCAACGGAGGAGACAACCGGTGGAAGTCCATGCCGACGATCAGGTCGTCATCTTCAAGTTCTTGGACTTTTGGGCTTGAGTTACGCGAGAACGCTGAAAGAATATTTCCCGAACTAGACGAGTAGAGAAGATTGTGCTTCTGTTTGGGGAAGTAGGCCTCAACCTTAGCCAAGTCATTGGCATAGTTCATGAGAAACTCATCATCCAGAGACGGGGCATCGACTGCCTTGACCACATCCTCATGGGGTTCAGGTGGAATCATGAAATTGGATCCAGTGATGTCGTCGATGTTCGAAGACAAAAACCGATTGAAGATCTCCGAGTTATGCAAGCCAAACTGGCCTCCTCCATCCACAACCTTTTCCAAAGCATTCGATAAGCTCTCTATTCCCGTGGACAAGTCGGGCATATTGAGTAAAAGTGACGATAGAGAGTCCTTTTTCTGGGGTGGAGGATGAGACTCTGATTGGTGTTCAATTCCGTTTGGGTGACCGAATTGCAGATCTGGGTGGCTTGTACCCATCAGACTCCCTAGTCCTGTCTGGATGAATACTTGTTGAGGACTGAGAATGGAAATACCGCCAGGAGTGTTAAACGACGGAGGAGACTCGATATCAAGTGGGGTCTGCGATTCACTTTTTGTAATGAAGTCCGAAAGCTGAGGAGATTCCCGGTACGTGTCTCGCTTGACGGGAAGCGACGAAGTCCTTCTCATCGCCGACGAAACGTCCAGGTTGGTGGGAGTCACAGGGATGAACCCGTCATTGGTGGTCACTTGAGACATGCTTTGAGACATCACAAACTGGACACCACTACCACCGCCGGACCGGGGTTTTTTAGCAGGCCGGGGAGAGCCTGTTGCTCCCATGACACCAAAATGGCCGTTCTGGCGTTTGTTGGCGTCTTTGTAGGGTCTACCACCCCAGGTCAACTTGATGGAGTAATCACATGTAGACTCTGTCTTGACACAATAAGAGCATTTTGGTTTGGCTTCATCACATTTGATCTTTAGCCGCTTACAGTTGTGGCAGCCTGTCCGGGAACGCCGTATCCCAGTACTTTTTGTGTTATTTCGAGTTGTGCCAGCCATTTGCAAAGAAGTCCTTGAGAGTTATTTCCGCGCCTTGAATCGCATCGGTGAGTTTATTGAGTAGAGGCGATAATAGTCTATTTAGAATGGCCTAATATAGGCAGATGCATGGGCGTGGATCTTCTCGGCAGATGCATACCTATGAATCCTTCTTCTCCGCTGCCAAAAGCCCTCCGTCTTTTTTCTCGGTGTCTCTCTCCGTGTACTTTCTTCCAAACAACAATCGTAAGAGCCTCTCGTACATCCGAAAAACATACCCAGCTAGTATCAAGAGACCACCAAGAATAGTTCCAAGACGTGCCACAAACTGAATGAATGGAAGCCGTTTCTCCACAATAGTCAATTTGATCGGTTCGAACTCGTATTTGAAGAATATACCAGGTGGCAGATAAATTCTGCCATTGGAATCTTTTCTGATCACAAGGTGCTGCTCGGAGATCGAATACTGGTTGGTGTCAACCACAATTCCCAATCTCTCATACAACGTGGGTACCACGTTGGAATAATACTTGTAACTTTGAAGGCTTTCGTGGGTGATTTTGCCCGACATGTCCAATGGATTATCGATCATCGGGTAGAAGGTGCCAAAGGAAAACTCCTGGATCACGTGCGAGAAGTTCATTCTCTCCCACGGCGTATGGAGCAGGTCCTGGTATCCCACGCCCTTGGCGGTGATGTGAAATTCACCCTGGACGTGATTGACGGGGATGGTCCCAAAGATGTGACAGGCAGGGGCACCGGCTACCTGGTTGATTTTCTGGCCGCTAATGTAGAACTCGGCGCGGATGTTCTCACGCATCACATGATCCAAGTCGGGGGTTTCGTACTCCTTGTTTTGGCTGTTGATTCGGAAGAACTGAGGTGGGGCAAAGAAATGGACACCCTCAAAATTCAAGAGCTCGGCCGCCAAGAACCGGTCGTCTGTGATGTCCACGACGTTGGTGTGTATAAGCTCGCACGGCATTGTCACCGTCATATCAATATTTATCGATAAGTTGGTTCGTATTTGGTCGTCCACCACAAACTGGTGGTCCACGTACCCTCCAAGGAACCCCCCGACCTCGACCCAAAGAATCACGAGGGCGAAGAAATACGTGGCTATGGTGGACAAGGCTCCGCGCAATGACCGCACCGTGTGCTCGGAGTCCACCTTGGGGAACGCGTCAAACGTCCTTACTCTTGTTGCAAATCCGTCCATAGTGACAAGTGTGTATGGGTTCGCATTTTGTTTTTTCACTGAAAAATGCGGATGATTGCAAATTGCAAATTGCAAATGTCTATTCAAATAAATAGAAACCTATTGTACTTAAGCAACAGGGGCTCGAGGAACCTGCCGACCGTAGCGGAAGCACTTGCGGTAGAGCCGCCTCCGCCGAAACACATAGTCCAGGTCGGGGATGCCCGTAGTGTCATCATAGATCCATCCGTCTGCCTCAATGTTCCTGATGTCAAATATTCCACCAACCTTCAACCCCCTTTCTGTCAAAAATGCTTGGGGGTCATTGTCAAACTCCCATTCTCTGGCGAGCTTTGTTTCAAACTTCCAGCCTCTTGGAGGTGATACTTTCGATAGTACATCCACTCCAATAGGTTTCCTTCCACTGGCTCTAACATGGTCCTTGACATCAAACAAACTAGTACAGTAGTTGTATAGGCTGTAGGAGCTGCTCATGGGAGTCTTGCACTGCAATTCAAAGACCTCTACTGTTCTCACCTCCGGAGCATCGTCCACAATGACCTGATTGTAGATAGATGGTTTTGGCAGAGGGTTTGGGGTTTTCGGTGGGGTTCGGGCTGGCAAGGGAGGGGGCTTCTTGGTCTTGGGCTTGATGGCCGTGAGATATTTCTTCGTGTTGGGGTGGCAGAGAATAATCGCAGCCCATCCGCTTTGGATAAATATCAACCTCCAAGGAATAAACTGACCCAAAACAACAATAATGGTGGTGGCCACAAAAAGCCCGTACACTATGAGGGTTGAGAGCTGCTCGTCCTTGAACCCAGCCGTGTCGTAATAGATATCCTCGGCTTTGTCCATACCTTTCACCACATCTGTAGTCAAGTTCTGCAAATCTCTCATGTTCAACAAGAGGTTCATCTGCTTCTTAATTCGCTTCGAGGTCTCCTTCTTCTCCTGGTAGGCGTCTACCTGCTCAGGGGTAGCAAAGTTCGAAGACGTGGGGGTGGGCGATAAACTGGTTGCAAATGCAGAAGATTCCGATGATCTGGAGCTTACCAGTGCCAACATATTCAGTTTTTCCTCTAACGCTTCCAAGAATTCGTCACTCAACAAGTCGTCCACAATACTCAGACTTCCAGAGTCTGTAAGAAAGTCCAATACCGATTGACCCCTTTTTTTCACCCGTATAATCTCTGGGTAAGGCATGGGATGGCAGTAAACGTAACCCGGGATCATCACTCCAAACAATATCCCCAAAAGAGGGTATGCCAATACAAGATGTGGCCACAAACATACCGATGTATAGGCGAAAAGAAAGCAGAGGGTTTTGGTGGGCCGTTTCCAGGTGATCACATGGATGACCCCATACTGAAGAGCGAAGAACCCAGTCATTTTTGAACTCAACTTCTTGAAGTTCAGCCCCAACACTCGCAACGAAAGTCCTGGCCTGGAAGTCCTGTTCTTGTCTGTAATCCGTTGTTCCAATAGATCTGTTTCATCGTCTCCATCAGTAAAAGTATGCTTCACGAGCCTTTCGAGCAACCTATCCATGAAATGGGTCGACGGCTTCAGTGAAGTTTCGTCGGCAGCCGACTCGGCCATCTCCTTGATTGCCTCGATCTCGGCATCAGTATACGGGAGACCAGATGATTGTCCATTGAGTTTATCGATTCCCAAACTGATGAAGGCCGCAGCGGTGCCAGCTGCAAGCCCCCGATTTCTGCCTGAGTTGTCTTTGGCCACGCTACTGACAGACTCATATGCCTTCTCGAGCACCTTTATGGTTTTGTCCTTGTACCGAGAGTTTGAGCTTTTGGAGCTCGGGGGCGATTCGGTGGTAGACATAAAAAAGGGTGGGATTGGTGAGATTTTGTGGAGTTGCAGTTGGTTTTGGTTTTCCCGCGCCATATGATTTTCGATGGCTGCAAGACCACTGGGTGCGATTTTTTTTCTTGAAAACGAAAAAGGCGGTAGAACACCATGAGTGGTAACTGTTCTAAACGTCAGTCTGTCCTCAAAGAGGTAGTGAATTGATTACCGCTTTACAGACTGAAATGAATTAGACTTCGTATATCAGACTTTGACCAACATTATCTTAGTTCAGCACTGCTTTTATCCGGTATTGACTTTGGGATAACCAGACAATTGTCTGAATGGTCTAATCACTCCAACTACCACTTCTTGTGTGTGATAATTTGGGAGCATTTGTATTGACGGAATTAATAATAGCTCTAACCAATTCGAAATTCTAGGGCATTTATAACCCTGATCGTGTAGCCTTATCTTTTACCATTATCTTTTTACATTGTCTAGGTCCGCTAGATGTCCTTATTCTTAGACAGCTTACACCCAAGAGTTCGTGTACCTTGAGGAGTTTGTTCTCAATCTTGTGACTTCTTTCAGTTATTTTATTTGGCAGCTTCCTTCAAACCCGTACAAAATTATCTAAAAATAAAAAGCACTTACATCCAAGTTGGATACTGGTGTCTTCCAAAGATAAAAATAGAGTATCTCTTATCCACCACCCTTGCTGTTCTTTTATTGGACCAGAATTGACTCCTTAATTCCCAAACCAGTTCTGGCCCATATATATACTTTTCACTTGCACTCTTGCCGTGACAAATACTTTGATTTCCTTTGCGTGTTATACCATGCGTACGTTTTGTATAGTTATTTTTAACTCGATCCCTTTAGAAGCTTAACTCTAAAAGTTTTAGGGTTTATGCATGCTTTGCAAGTTCACCAACGTGCATGTACCATCTTTTCCAATACCACTCTTTCCCTACATCCCAGCATAACTAATGTCCTCTCCTAATGGGTCTTGAAGCTGACATTAGAGGAGGTGGTAGGGGCATAACAATCATAGGAGGGCATAACAATCAGAGGAGGGGTATGGTTCAGGTGTTCAGGTAAAGGGGATTAGTCTCTAGTCAACTGCTAAGATGAAATAATGATTAACTTTCCAAGTCTCTTCAAGATTCCCAAAATACAGACATTTGTTACTTGGCGGGCGATACAATAACCCCCAAAATTATTCAGGGTGTGTTCATCTTTACTCTTGTTGCTTAATTTAGGTCAGTTTGCAGCACATACGGAATTAAGAATAAGTAATGAATTCGACAATTGTGGGGTAGAAAAACACTTGGTTGAAACTAAAAATAATGCTAGTCCAACAAGACTGGAACAAGAAAACCCATATGAGTTAACTAGCAAAACTTCCAAAACAGAGAGGATAGTCTGAAAATAGGACTATCTTTTCAATAAAATAGTATTGTGGTGATATCAAGAGGCTTTTTGCGGCATGAGTCCATCCCTGCCCCTGGCTGTATAAGGTTTCTAGTTCGAAAAAGGTAACTTGGGGATGAATAGTTACTTCTTCAGGTAAAATGTTTGTATTCCTGGTACCTTAGCCGTCATGCAGGGCAAGTAAGTTTTGAAGAAAGATATGCATGAATCATTTTGTTCCCCGACTAGTTCCTTTAACTGAAACTGACTTACCCGTTTGCCATCGAAGCATCTTATTGGAAGAAACAAGATATCTAATATGGTAAAATAATGGTCCCGTAAATAAACATTTCGCACCTCTGAGGAGAGTCGTTGTTTAACCACATAGTTAAAGTTTTTTCCTCTTTTACAAACTATTGCAAGGTGCAAGTTTTTGGTATTAAAGATCCGTTTAAAGCTGTCGATCTCCCCAATGAGGTAGTAGCCTTATAGAACTCATTCCCAACTCATAATCCTAATTCTCAAAGGGGATATGAATGTATCTTGTTCAACTATCTCAAATACTTGCCTAATAAGGTCTTGTATTCTTCCAATGAGGTAGCTGACAAGAAGTTAATCTCTTTGACAGAAAAACTAAGTCCAAGTTATAAGAAGACTGATAGTTCGGGTTAAATGGCAACAACGAAGATGCTCCCTAAATTGCTATTAATTGGGTCTTTAAGTCTCCCCCTTGTTCTTGGGTATTCCGGATGTAGTCCCCCATCCACCAATAGTGGACTTGCGGTTGATTACTTTGATGAAGTGGCCTTTTACCAGGACTCCTATGCCTATCTTGCTACTATAGATGGATTGACTCCTGACTACACTAAGTATGGAGTTGAGGATATTGACATTACTATTACTGGAATCCCCGATGTATCCTCAGCAACAGCCAATAGTACCACTTACTATCAAGATGTTTACGATAGAAGCACAAATGTTATCAAGTTTGGTTTAAGACTTTCAGGATACTTTCGTGCCCCTGAAGATGGGACTTACACATTTGCTTTCACAGCAGCTGAGGATTATATTTCTATGAATATTGGTGGTGCTTCTGGAGATTTAGACTGTTGTACAAACCCCAACGAACTCTCCGCAGCTGGCGCTCAAATCAAAGCTAATGGAACAAATACAGATTACGCTTTATCTCTGGCCCTGGCTAAGGTACAGCTTAAAGCTGGACAATACTACCCCGTGAAGATTCTCTATTACAATGAGTCACCAAACCAAGCTAGAATGTCATTTCAAGTAACTTGTCCCAACGGTACTGTTGCAACAGATGATATTCCATGGTATTATTCTACAGCAGATGACAAAGACTTGTGTTACACCACCACCACCACCAAAATATGGACTGGTACAGATACTGAGTATTTTACAGTAACAGGATCGGATGGTGATGTGACTGTTACTAAAGAAGTACCAGAAACCACAACCACAACTACTGAACCATGGACAGGTTCA